TGAGACATCGACTTCTCGAAATCTCAAAAAGTGGGGGACTAGATGATGGATAATATACTAGGCCTGGGCCACATGGACCGGCCCATGAAAGTAATTGGATCAAAGAAGCCCAAGAAAGATATACGACATAGAGCAACCTAAGAGTTTGTCAAAGATTGGGCAGGTTATTCCCAATATAATTAGAATTGGACTCATTATCTCTAGTATGATAGAATTAAGTTTTATTATGTAACTAAGACTCCCAATATCAATCGGTATATCCTACACCACGGCGCACATAGCACTGTGCGCCGCGCGCCTCCCAAAACGACGTCGTTTTGGGGTAGTGTTGGGAGGCGCGGTAGGAAGTTGCTGAGATTATGTGTATTTGTTCACAACGTTATGTGTATTTGTTCACAACATTATGTGTATTGGTTCATACAGTTATGTGTATTTTTTATACAATTATGTACATTCTTTTTATACAATTATGTACATCCGAATCAGAAAATTTGTGTGTATTATGTTAAGAGTTGATGTGTATTATGTTAAAAGTTTATGTTTATTATGTATTAGAGTTAATTCCAACAATAGTCCTCCGATTATTGTGATTTTTCAAATTTAGTCCTCATCTTTTAATTTGGACAAAATAAACCCTTGACTATCATAATTGTTCCATCATTGGTCCTTCCGTTAACCAACTGTTAAATAAATGTTAGTGAAGGGATAAAAATGTAATTTCTTCTACTGGGTCATTTCCTCACCCGTCCAAACCCACCATAGCTAATGAATATAGAATTTCCCCTTTTCTCTCTCAATTTCTCTCTTTCTCACCCTAAATTCTCTACTTTCCCTATCCCTATTTCTCTGTTTATTGCCTGAGCCCGCTGCAGAGCATGAAAAATCAAATATGAAATTCTTCTCTCTTGAAGATGACGGATTTACTCCGGAAACTTCACATCGACGGTGGCGTAATCGATCACCATCATCACCCGCACCACCGCCCACCACCGTTTGATAATCTTCCGCGGTTTAGAGAACTGGACTCCGCTTTGACTCCGGCTTCGTCCTCCTCCGAAACGACGCCGGCTTCGCCCTCCTCCGAAACGACGCCGTCTTCGTCCGCGACAATGTCCAGGATTGGGGAATCGAATGCTGTGTTAGATTCGGCCCCAGCGGTCCTCCCTCTTCCGTCTCTCTCTCTTTTTCGTCTGATCTTACACCCTCAACCCAGCGGAGCAGAACAGGGGAGTGGTGGTGTTTTCCTGGCGGATTAATGCAAGTGACCGAGCTGGTTGGTGGTGACCTCTAGTTTTTCGATCGGTGATTGGCAGCGGCGAAGACTTTAGCTTTGAACAAAAGTGTTATTGCAAATTGTCGTTTATGGTTGCCACATGTCAGTTTATGCTTCTTTTAAAAATATATATATATTTATTGGTCATAGAGAATTTGTGCACCCAAATTAAAGCAAACCCACTTTACACTTTAGATTACGAATTTCTGGTGGAATAAACTTTGCAAGATTTTGTTTTTGGATAAATCTTATTATACCATCGACGAAGACTTTGCCTCTTCTCGTCATGACGATTGGTGTGTAGCAGCGAAGAGGCAGAGACGGTGATCTCCCCTGTCTCCGACGAATAGAACAACAGTCCGGCGAGGAGGGATCTTGACCGACGACGGGCAGCGGCAACATCAGCTTTGACGAGCATCTCCTCCGATTGCATGGACGTGGCAGTGGTTTAGCTTGGAAATTGTATGGTGAGAGGTGTTCATGTTGTATGGTGCTTGGGTGTTCATTGCTACTGTCGAACCAAGGATGCAAGAGAGAGATCGCTGGAGAAGGGAGGAAGAAGAAGTTTAACAAAAAGACCATTTTAACCCTTATATTAACCCCTAACAAATGGATCTTTTAACGGAAGGACCAATACTGGAACGAATCTGATAGTCAAGGGTATATTTTGTCCAAATTAATAGACGATGACTAATTTTGGAAAAACGCAATAGTCGGAGGACCATTGCTGGAATTAACTCTTATGTATTATGTTAGATTATGTGTATTATCTTTTAAAAAGAGTATGTATATTTTGTTATATAATTATGTACATTCATGTATAACATTATGTGTATTCTAGTATAACATTATGTACATTCTTGAACAGCGGGTTTTTTTTTTAAAGAAAAAACTACTGCCATTCACTGGGGCGGGAAATTAAAAAAAAAAATAATTAAAACGACGTCGTTTTGCATCTGGGCGCATAGTGCAACGCGCGCCGTGGTGTAGGATATAAATTGCCCTCCCCATATGAGGCAGTCTAGAATTCTTATTCCTTGTAGGGCTCTAGGCCCAAAATATGTATAAATGGACCCTTCACGTAGAAGAAGGGGGACAACTTTCAGTATTCACAAGCAATACTCATCAATACCAAGTTCCTATATTTTCTCCATATATTTCTCCTATATTTTTCCTATATTCTCGTTATTCTAACGGTAGTGTTGGCCTGCCGTTGACTGCCCAAAAGTCATAAAACCAACAGTAGTAATACTTTAGCACTCGGGGAAGACCTCAATTGAACTCATCATATCTCATGATTCTCTTTTTTATTATTTCTTTACTCCTAAAATGATGGGGAGGTAGGAACTTCACGATTATTTAAATTATTCTAAATAATAATAATAATAATGTAACTCATTTTTATAAATTTGATATTTATATTTTAGGTAATAATTAACGAGTTAATTCCAACAATGGTCCTCTGACTATTGCAATTTTCTAAAATTGGTCCTTGACTTTTAATTTGGACGAAAAAGACACTTGACTTTCACATTTGTTCCAACATTGGTCCTTCCGTTATCTATCCGTCAGTTAGGCGTTATGTTAGGGGCTAAAATGGTCATTTTCTCTGATTTTCTTTTTCCTGATAGACCTGCAAAGGACTAAAACCAAAACTCCATTATTTCTTCCCTTCTTCACTGGCCGAATTTAATTTCAGATGTTTAGATACAGTTGGCCAGTGATGGCGACATGACCACCTATTACAAATATCAAACTGTGAGTTCACTTGTAAATGTAAAATGGATGCATTTAACCATAAGCTTATTGTCGAGGTTCTGAATGGGAATGAATGCAGTGGGACTTACCATAGTTAAACAATTCCATGCTCATATTTGTAACAGAACAAGCAATCACCGTAAAAACCAACCAATGGGAATAATTTCTACAAGCAGAGTGAATTACGACCACTATTCATCGCCACCATCTTTTTTGGATTCTTGTTTTCGTCACTAAATTTCTACAAGCTGAGTGAATTACGACCACTATGCAATACAGAGTTTTGCTATAAGCACAGACGTTGACTGTAAGAATCTACACTGTAACAATGGTGTACTGTGAATGAGAGAGAGAGAGATCACGCTAAAGAGTGAAGCTTTACTACAGTTACTGGCTTCTCAAGGTAAGCGGAGGTAGAGGCGGTTGATAGATGAATATGGGCAAAAACAATGTAGATCACAGGCGGTAGGACTGAGTTCCCGACACGGCGACACTCACGTCTTCCAAGGCAGTGAACGCATCGCCATGATCAGATCTTCTACAGAGGCAATCCAGCCCTTGCAGGACGCCTCGCCGGAGAAACAGGAGCTCCGGTGTGGGAGTGCGGTTGCAGAAGGATACTGGCGGAGGTTCTGCTGGGAAGAGGACCAGACCGCACACCCCTCTGTTACGGTGGAAGTTCAATGAGGATGTAGAAGACAGTGTTGCGGAAGAGGGATGCCCATCGAAGAGGTCATGTTGCCATCGCTGGCCAACTGTATCTAAATATCCGAAGGAAAATTCCGTCAGTAAAGAAGAAGCTAGGTGAGAAACAATGGAGTTTTGGCTTTGGTCCTCTCATGTCACGAGGAAGAAGAAAACAAGTTAAGAAAAAGACCATTTTAGCCCCTAATCTAACGCCTAACAAACGGATGAATAACAAAAGGACTAATACTGGAACAAATGTGAAAGTCAAGTGTCTTTTTCGTCCAAATTAAAAGTCAAGGACCAATTTTGGAAAATAGCAATAGTCGGAGGACTATTGCTGGAATTAACTCAATAATTAACATATAACTCAAATATATAATGTGTATATACTATTATTAATGAAGAAGATAAGAAAATATATGGTGGATGCATGTGCATAGTAGCAATACTGGAAAAGATAACGGAAGTTATAACGGTAGGGATGTGTTTGTCCGAAATATTTTAATGTACAACTTTTATAGCATAATGTACAAAAAAACTTAACGAAAAAAACGGACATAAATGAGGGGTATAACTTTCATTAACACTTATTATGCTTTTATTTATTAGATATAAGTAATTAGTATATATGTCTCAACATACTATGGATAAAAATAATAATATTGAGAATGTTGATGTGGGTGAAAAATTATATAATAAGAAGAATTTTATGATATATTATAACATGTTTTGTAAGAGAATTATAAATGATAATAATAAAAAATCATTCAAAGTTTGTAAAGATGCATTCAATTTAAAATTTCAATGACTTTTGTAAACTTTTTAAAATAAAAAGTTGATAAAAATTTATTAATGTTTTTATATATAAACTTAGTCTTATAAAGTTTTAAAAAGTTTTGAACGACCCTAGAAAAGTCAATCAAAGTTTATTAAAATTAATCATTTTAAAAGTAAAGTCTACAAAAATTATGATTGAATACACCGCGGTATTTTATAGCAAATGTTTAAGGTAAAAAAAAAAAAAAAAATACTCCGTAACTATTTATAATTGTTTTTTTTTTTTTAATTTGATGGTTAAATTGCATTTTTTCCTTAAAATATTGAGGGATACTTTCTCAACTTACCGAAACACAAAGAGCTGGCTTGAACTCACAACCTTCCAAATGAAAGTTCAACCTGGATACCATTAAACCACATAGTCATGTTCCTAGAGCAATAATTTAAAAGCCATATATAAAAAGAAAAGGAAAAAAAAAAAAGAACGAAATAAAGAAGACCTGCTGCCGATCGCCGCCTTCTTATATGTCGTAAAACCCTACTTCTCTTTGCGCCGATCTCTCCAATATCGCCAAACCAGAGCATCTGATGAGGACAGTGAAGAAATCCAGGGATGAAGCTCCCGATTTTCTGGTATGTTGTTCGCGAATTTTGTTGCTGCTTATCAATTTTATTGTATTTAGATAAAGAATCGAAAGTGTTTGCCGGAGGGTTATGTCAAATGGTGGTAACACAAACTTCTAAGCAAGAGCAAACTTTTAGTCTATCTCAGAAATTTTGTGGCTCTATTGCTGCTAGACTGCACCTTTGTTGGATATCAATTTAGGTGCAAAACAATTAGGTTATGGTGTGGAGAACGTATGTTTAGTTTTAGTTACTGTCTTTTGACCCCTCTGTAATTTTGAGTTGCGAAGTAATTTCATGAATTGTTACTGCGGGATGAGGAAGGATTCTTGTTTTTTTGCTTTAATGAGAGAGCTTTTTACTTCTTTATTTTTTGGTTAAAATAATTGGGATGCTCTTGATTTGTAAAGAGTTGTTTCCTTGCTCTTCTATACCACCAAACTTGTATAGGCAGATTGGGGTGCGTTAATTAATTGGACAGTAGCCGGCAGTCTGGGAGTTTGAGAGAGATGGAGACTATTTCCAGTGGATTTGGTACTGTGATGTCTTTGTTTTTGACTGGCCGGAAACTCCTGAATTATAAATTTTGATCTAAAAGTAACAAATGTAGGATTTCCCTGCCTTATCTCTAATTCTAACCAATTATAAGCTATGTATTAGCGGGCTAGTAGCTAATGTCTGGTCAGAGATCAATCCTGCTCCTTGTACTGCATCTATCTCTGAAATTTTAATGTTATCTGCAGTGACTGGATTAGATTATATCTTGTCCATTAATTCCTGACCTTCCGGACTACTATATATATATATATATATATATATATATATATATATATATATATATATATTATTTGAAACCTTTTCACTTCATGTTTCCAAGCTTTTCACTTTACTTTTGCAAAATGGGGATATACTGAAAGAAAAGGTTAATTTCAAAATGATTTCTTAATTATTTAAATATTTTGTATTTCTTTGTGAATAATTAGCCATTGGAAGGTGGACCAGTAAGGAAGATTCCAGTTACTGAACTAAGAGACACTAAAGCAACAGTTTTGTACATTGGTAGAATTCCACATGGATTTTATGAGAATGAAATGGAAGGTTTGTATTTCTCTTTTCTAATGTGATTATGAGCTTATTATAGGGTGTTTATGGCATCTATGTATGAAGTGTTATATTGAGATGATACAATGATTTTTTGCAGGATTTTTTAAGCAATTTGGTACTATCAAGCGACTTAGAATTGCTAGGAATAAGAAGGTTGAGCTCTCTAACTATCAGCTTATTTGTTACTTTACAATTAGCTTAGTAAAATGTTCTTTTGTTTTAAAAGCTCAGTTCTTAATGCCTTAAGCTTTTTATCATGCACTTTTGTTGGATGGTTTTGTGTCACACAAAACTGACTTGCAATATTGATTAAAAGCAATTTCTAAAGATAAATCTAGTTCATCAATATTAAAAATTCTCTTGATTTTGTAAAGATCTTAAGATTGTGCCATGTGAAAATAACGGCAAGAGTTATCAGACAATAAAGAGGAATTTAAGATTTAAGAATATTGAGTTTTTTGCCCCTGATGGCTGGGTAACTTTACATTCATCTGATTTAAATTCCATCCGTCTTCTCTTGGGGAAAGAATGAACTGTCAAATTAGAATTGAGGTTTGGGAACTGAAATGCTTGCACCAAGTTTCCTGTTCAATAATTTATGAAAATGGCCCTTCAGAAGTTTTACTTCATGACTATGTCCACTTTCATTACTGTTCTACACATTGGCAATGTTCTTTAATCTCTGTTTTATGTAATTATTCATTTCCTGTATTATAAGTGGATATTTCCTTTACTGATATTTGTGGTTATTGTGACATGTTTTACAGACTGGAAAATCCAAGCATTTTGGCTTCATAGAATTTGAGTCCCCTGAGGTTGGTTGACTTTGTCATAACAAATTTTCAGTCATCTAGATTCTCATATTTGTAAAGCATCTTTATCCTTTTCCTTATTCCTGGTGGTTCTTATCGTAAATGCAGGTTGCAAAAATTGTGTCTGAAACAATGCATAATTATCTATTGTTTGAGCATGTCTTGCAAGTTCAACTTGTTCCACCCGAACGTGTTCATCCAAAACTGTAAGGGACTCTTCTCTGGACACCTTTAAAAAATGTCAGTTGTAGGAAACTTTGTGTTTAGCATTGGGGGTTCTACATTTGTTAGCCTTATAGTGCTCTTTGCATTACATAGCTGTATTATCTCTGTGCTTGAGTTGCAGTTTTGCACCACTGTGGTGCTTTCTATAGAATTTTACATTATCCAAACTAATACTACTAATAATAATAACAATTAAAAACAAAAACTTGTTCTATTTATGTGACATGGAGGACCAAGTAATATTCTCGAATTGAGTGTGAAAATTTTTCTGGCCGGTGTAAAACTCTAAATAAATGTGAAACTCTATGCATTTCTTTAGTAAAATTTGTGCTATGGATTTCTTTTTGTATTATCAATCACTTTTTTTTCCTTGGAGTATTATGGTTGGTCTCCTATGATCCTAGTACTAATAAAACTTTATTGGAGGATAAGTTGTACTAATAAAACTTATTACTCTGATAGTTTGTGGCCAACTTAAGGAAAAATACCACCCATATTTCTCAACACTCTCTTCTGTGAGGTGGTTTAAACTCCGTGGCTTCTTTTGGATATTATATGCCACATTATGCTGTGTTTTTGCTGGTGTTATGGTAATAAATTTCATTCTTAATGATTGTCTTATAATCTTATTGTCTCATCTTTATTGGAAATACTTATTCAACAAAATGATTCAACACTTTATCATGTTTGAAGATTTGTCTCCATGTTGGATTTGCAACAAGATTAGTGTTGAAATAGTGTTCATGCATCCTTACACATGGTTATATTCAGCTATATTTTCAATGACTAGAACACCTTTCTGCCTTCTGCCATGGAACTCATGATTATTATTTTTAATTTTTAATTTTCTCTAGGTGGAATGGTGTGAACCGTTGGTACAATCCTTTGGACTGGGTTAATATTCAACGAAAGATTCACAACAAGGTATGGTAGAGCATGGAGAGAATTGTTGGTAGTTCTAGCAAATACTTGTGTTCCAAATACTCTACTAGAATTGTCTTTATTACATGATAGCATTGCATCTTTGAAAAATATGCTCTTGATCTTATATTAATATATTCAGGAACGGACATTGGAAGAGCACAAGAAATTGGTTGAAGGAATAAAGAAACGGGATCGCAAGAGGCGTAAGAAGATTGCAGCTGCTGGTATAGATTATGAATGCCCAGAAATTGTAAGAACGCCTCAACTTTTTTTTTTTTTCTCCGATGTTGCAAATAATGCTTATTAGTTCACAGCACAAGTCAATGGTCAGGAACATACATGAATGAATACAATCTCTTAGGAATCTAATGTGAATTAGATAATACAAGGCATTGCTACTAAAAAAAATTGTTGAAAATCCTCCTAAAACTTGACTGTTTTTATTTATCTATACCATTCTGATTGTTAAACTTGTTCTGGGTAACATTTAATCTATGGAATTACTTTAGGCCCATCAGAAAGCTATCTTTAAAAGATTTATAATTACAAGATATTTTGATGAAAATTTTTGCCTATGTGGTTGTTCTAACGGATGGGTACTGGACTGGAGAAGTGGAGATAGTGATTTGTTTGAAGGACCTTAGTAGTATTGTACTGTTGGCATTAAAGAAATGATCAATTTCTTTGAGTTATTTCTTCGATTATACTGTTTGGATTTTATGCTTTAATCATATTGCATCTCTACTTCCGGCATTGTTTTAAAGCTCTTGTGTGAATAAAATCTACTCTGCATTTTCTCTAAACTGATGTGTCATTTGCAGGTTGGTTACGTTGAGTCTGCTCCAAAGAAGATTAAATTTAATGAAGATTAGGACTTTTTTTTTTGGCAATTTGAAGTATGGATCTGTGCGCAGTATGGGAAGCTTAAGCAATGGCCTTTTCAAAACAGTTTTGTGTATCTTGTTTCTAGATCCCTGGCATAGGTCCATATAATTTTGTATTTGGATCAGGCGGTATGCCCAGTAGTTGTACTCAAAACTATGATTTTTTTTGGATGCAAATGCTATGTAGGTTTTATAATGGGGTCCAAATTTATTGGTTTCTTGTTGGATTAGTTTTTCCCATAAGTCTTTTATTTATTATTGTTTAAATAAATAAAATATGAGTAATAGCATTGGTCAATAATAACTAGATTAATAGGGAATTGATGATAACTAATCTCCTATTTCCATTTATTATTATTGACACATGGAAACATTGGGAAAAAAAGAAGCTACATCAAAATGTTTATACATATTTTATGGGCAAATTATATTGTGAACCATGATCTACATTGCAATATAGTTTTAGTATATTGAAGATTAAGATTAATTTTTAATGTACAAAAAGTTTATTTCAGATACTATATCTAGAAAAGAATATTCAGTACACAAAGTCTAAAAATAAATATTTGATGTATTAAAAAAAGTAAGGAATAAGGGTCAAATAGGCTACTCAACTACACATTAAACTTTTTTTTGGTAGGGGGAAGGGCCAAAGGCCCCGGGAGTTAATAAAATCTTCTCATAGCTACGCTGTTTGCGTCACGATTCAACAACTGGATGATCTCTTTGGGTGGATGCCGGAGGATATTTGTGCCCCAAGGAGATTCTTGACCCAAGTTAGCCAGATGATTAGCACACTGGTTCCCTTCTCTAAGAATGTGCTTGAGCTCAAAAGCATGAAACCCATGCATAAGAGTCTTAAAATCCATAATGAGAGCATCAGCCCCCACGAGAGACGCCGTGTTTTTGCTAAGGGCTTGAACTACCGCCAACGAATCAGTTTCTGCCTCCACTTTGTCGAAGCCGTGGTGGTTTGCTAAACGGAGACCTTCACGGAGCCCCCAGAGTTCAGCCGTGAAACTGGTGGCAAAGCCAATTTTTGTCGTAAAGCCCATCATCCACGTGCCCGTGTGATCTCGCAAGAGGCTACCCGCACTAGCTAGGCCGGAGGCGGCTTTCCTCGCCCCATCTGAGTTGATTCTCACAGTTCCAGGCGGAGGTGGAGCCTATTAAACTACAATTAGACCATCGAACTATTATTACATCAGATGCTAATTATAGCATTAAACTCAGATGGTCCAATTAATAGGCTACAATTATAAGTGATGCTCAGTGGAACTAATCTCCTATTTCCATTGATGCTATAATTGTAGTTTAATGCTATAATTGTAGTTTAATGTGTAGTTTAATATGTAGTTTAACCAACAAGAAATACCATAAGTCCATGCTATAAGCTTCCCCAGGAAACTATAAGGCGACTTGTAGAACAGCGTACAACACCAGACCTGTATCGTGTAAAGGTCGAAAAAAAAACAGATTGGATGGATATATTGATTTGTGTGGTGAAAACTCTACCAATCCTCTATAATGATGCATTTATAGTGTACCTACCTTTGTTGCTGTATGACATCCATGACAGATTGACAGGCACATGAGGCAAAGGTTTTGTTTTTGCACAAAACCAACCTCGAGCTTCTTGTATCTCAGATTGTTTTGATGAACATGGTTTCAGCACATTCATGATTCATCAAAGTTGCTCCCATGAAATCGAGAATCAATCACCAGTAATCTCCACAAGAACACAATCCATTTTGGAAATGGTGGAATCTATTACCATCTCGAATTATAATCTTCCGTTGTGTAAATTTGGACATGAATTTCATGAAATTATGGCAGTCACCACAGGTGCGAAGGTTCTTCATAATCTGAATGGGCGATCCATGCGGTGTTTTCAAGATGCCAAACACAACAGCAATCTTTTCGCTGTGGTACAGGAGCTCGATTTGCTTTTGCTCTTCATCCACGTCATGCATAACAAAATTTGTGTCGGGCACATAGCCTGTTGATTTAAACTGCATATAGAACTCTTCTAACATTGAAGAGATCTCGCCAACCTGCTCAAGCATCCTACTACCAGTAACGAAAGAATGGAGGTTACCTTTGATATGGATCCAGCTGAAACCCGGTTCTTTGTTTACCTCCCGGTTCAACATTGCGCTGCGTACTTTCTGCACTTTTTCCCACATGCCTTGAGAAGCATATATGTTTGATAGCAAGACATAAGCTCCAGATTCTTTTGCACCCATCTGAAACAACCTCTCTGCAACTCTCCTGCCAAGGTTCATGTTACTGTGCTTTTTACAAGCAGCAAGAAGAGCATCCAAAATCACAGTATCAGGCTTCATAGGCATGTTGTTTACAAGTGATTCAGCTTCAGAGAGTCGTCCGGCCCGCCCAAGAAGATCAACCATAGCGGTATAGTGATTTATTAATGGCCTAATCCCGTAATCTTGGCTCATTGAATCGAAATATTTCAAACCTTCATCCACTAACCCTGAATGGCTGCAAGCACTCAGTAGCTGAAGAAAAGTTATTTGGTTAGGAATAACCTCGAATTCACGCTTCATTTTCTCAAATATATGGATGGCTTCTCTGCCCAATCCATTTTGGGCACATCCAGTTAAAATAGCATTCCAAGTGATGACATCCCGTTCATACATATCCTCGAAAACCTGAAATCCGTCATGAGACCCACACTTGAAATACATGGTTATAAGCGTGTTACCAACAAATAGGCGCAAATTCAGTCCGAGCTTATAAGCTAATGCATGAATTTGTTCCCCTAATTTTGTAGCACCAAGGCTCCCACTTGCACTCAGTAGGCTGGTAACAGTCGGTTCACTTGGTTTTATTCCATTGTTAAGCATTTCGAGGAATAACCGGAAAGCAACTTCTCCTTGTTCGGCTTGGACATAAGCGGATATTAAAGCAGTCCAGGACACAACATTGTGGTTTGGCATCCTCTGGAATACTTCAACGGCGTCACTCAGCCTCCAGTTCTCTGAAAGGCCGGTGATCAGTGAGTTCCAAGAGACCGTATCCCTGACTTTCATTATGTCAAATGCCCGAGAAAAATCTTCTGTATTCTTGCATTTAGCATACATGTTTATCAATCCATTCCCGATAAATGAATTGAACTGGCACCCCGATTTAATAGTTAGAGAGTGTATCTGTTTGCCCATTTCAATGTTTCCAATGTTGGCACAAGCAGAAAGGGCGCTAGTTAAACTTGAATGATTGGGAATGATTCCCAATCTGTGCATCTCACCAATCACCTCCAAAGCTTCTTTGTTATCTCCATTCTGCACAAGCCCAGAAACCATTGTTCCCCAAGAAGCCATATCCCTTGCGGGCATTCGGAGAAAGAACTCCCTAGCATCCTCAACCATCCCATTTTGTATATATCCAGCAAGCAGGGCATTCCAGGTAAGAACATTCTGGGGGTTCTTGATGGCGTCAAATATGCGTCTTGCCTCAACCAACCTTCCATTTTGGGCATAAGCACTCATCATTGCTGTCTGCGTCCCGACATTCTTTTGGGGACATTGTCTGTACAACAGAATGGCATCTTCCAACCTTCCACAATGGGAGAAAGCCGAAATCATCGTGCTCCAAGTGTAATCATTCTTCTCTGGCATATCATCGAAAAACTTAAATGCCAAATCCGAACTCCCAATTCGTTTGAAGGTATTGAGAATCGCAGTTCCCACCACAACATCATTGCTGTATCCCAACTTCAATGGAAGTGGCAGAAAGTATGTAACCAACCCCACATCATCATCATCCAATCCCGAGATCACAGACAGCACTGCCAAGAATATTTGCTGGTCTGGTCTCACCTCACCTCGCCTGTGCATATCTAAAACTAACCTCCATGCTTCCTCGTACTCACTCACTTCGGCATACCCAGAAATCATAACCATATACGAAACTTCATTCCTCTCCGGCATAACATCAAACACCTGGCGTGCCTCGCGCATCCAACACACCCTGCAGTACCCCGTGATCATACAATTCCAAGAAGCTATATTCCGATCACTCATGGCATCAAACAACTTCCTCGCACTCTCGACTTCCCCGTTCTGCAAGTACCCACTAAGCATTGCATTATAGGAGACAATGTTCCTCTCCGGCATGGCATCGAAAATCAAGACGGCCTCATAAATTCTTCCAGCTTTCGCGTACCCAGACAGCATCGAGGTCCAAGTCCGCACATTCTTGCCTTGGAAAGCATCGAAAAGGGATCTTGCATCATCGACGCGGCTGTTGTCACAGTAGCCAGAAATCATGGAGTTCCACGTGACGGAGTCCCGTTGAGGCATTCCGTCGAACAGGCGTCGGGCATCGCCGACTTGGCCACGCCGGAAGAAATCTTGTATTTGCTTGTTGCATGGGAAAAGATAGTTTGGATAGTAGTAGGTCAGAGTGGAGATAGAGCGGTTGAGTCTGCAAAGGAAACCATTCATCGGAGGATGTCTTTGCCCTGCGTTTGGTTCTCGCTGCTGAATTTTTGAGGTGGTGGTGCGCACAGTTATGGCGGGCGTTAAGGGGGTGTCTGGGCGGTAAAAGATTAAAATAGTTCTACAGTTTTTTTTTTTTTTTTTTTTTTAAGGGAAATGATTTGTTTTGGTTAGGTTGAAATAAAAAGACTTTTTGTTATTACTTTCACATAGCAGACGACATATGTGAACAGAAGGATTATGGCAGGTCGAATTCAAAATTCAGAGGATCACGGATGATTAATTTGAAAGTTTAGGATTAAAGTTAGTGAAATTATCAAATTCGGAGGACCTTAGCTGACATTTACTTTTATTTCAAGGAATAATACTAGATAGTTGATACCTCTTATATTTTTTCCTTCCAATCCTCTCGTGACATGAAAATATACAATTGGTAATTAAATATTATTTTTTATTAGTGGTGGGCAAGGTTGCAAAAATCGCACCTAGGCGCTAGGCAGCGATCAGCTGCCTAGAAATTCGATGGAATCACCGTTCTAGGCGATCGGCCACCTAGACGCCGAGTAAGTTGTTATGGACTAGGCGGAAGTTTAAATAATTTTTAATATATATATATATTTTTAATTTAAGAGAAGTTACATCAAAAGGTAAAGTAATGGAAAGAAAATTTATGAGGGGAATAAAACATTTTCCTATTTTAAATTCTCATATACATATAAAGTTCATTATTCTAACACATAAAGTACATTATTCTAACTTATAAAATATATTTTCTTATCCCAAAATGTTCATTATTTTAACACAAGCGTGAAATAGGCAAGGAATTTTTTTAAAACATCAAAACGACATCGTTTTGGCCCGTGGTCCACACAATAATTTGCCACCTCGCCTTTGCTGTCAAATCTCAATAGTTATTGCGTGGGTAAAAAAACGACATCGTTTCGCACAATTATTTTTTTTACGCAACCCGTAACAACATACATTTTTATAACGTATAATGTACATAGTAGATTATTTTAACTCATAAAATACATTATATTACCTCAGAAGTTTCATTATTCTAACACATAAAGTACATTATCTTAACTTATAAAGTACATTGTTCTAACTCATAAAATTCAACTACACCATTTTGGACAGTGATCCACGCAACTGCGTGGACCACAATCCACACTATAATTTGCCATCGAGAGCTCATGCCGACCTAATTTGCATCTCAGTAGAGTGACTGAGTGAGTAGACCCACTCGGGCCAACCTTGAGGTTGACTCTTGACCTATACGCCCTATCGTTTTGGTTTTTGGGTTAAGACCTTATGGCATACCATGGTTTACATAGTATTATAAACTCTTGATCGAAATGATGAAGTATATAATTCATATTTGTAAGGTATAAATTTTCATAACATAAGACATAAAAAATCACCGCATACGACACATACACATGTTATATATTTACTTATTTTTCAAATGTGATTTAGGTATATAATTTGTGTTTATAGACACAAATTTCACAACACAAGACACAATTACTAATTTGTTTTAAGTACAGAATTCATACTTTTAAGATATAAAATTTCATAACAGAAGAGACAAAAATTAACAATAAAAGATATATACCAGGACTATGTGGTCTAATGGTATCCGGGTTGGACTTCCATTTAGAAGATTGTAAGTTTGAGCCTCAGTGGAGGCGTTATTAGCTCTTTGTGTTTCAGTAGGTTGAGAAAGTATATGAACAGATACTACAATGTAACAGAGCTAGTAGCATTCAAAAAAAAAAAACAATAAAAGATATATACATATGTATCAAACTCTACACTGCACTGTAAACCCTTGTTTATGGTATATGGATTGACACCTTGGCAGATATAATATCTCCATCATTGGTTTAGTTTATAGTCTTGTAGCTTTTTTGTTCATATGTTATTAAAAAGAATTAAATGGTAAATAATGTTTTTCATCATATATTTAATTATACAAAATACCAATTTCGATCTCAATTTTTACAAGGAAAATGTTATATGTATTTTTATTTTTTACTCTTAATTTTTATTTCTATACACAAAACTTTGATGTAGACACTTATATTGAGACCCATATAAAATAAATAATTTATCAGAGTCCGTCGCATCAAAAAATAAAATTGAAAGAATAAGATTTGAGAGTATATATAGTAGAACTCTTTTTACAAAGTGATGATTTGATCCCTCTTTTTACAATGTGGTGATTTTGACAACTCAAAATTTTAGTTCATCAATTTGTTAATGGAGATTTTAATAGTTTAGAATTTTAAATTACAATTCTATCCCTATTTAATTAATAGGCTCTACACTTGCAATACAAAAATAAAATTGAATGACCAATAATACTCACGTAAACAATTGAGAGTCCGAAATCATTATTTCATATAAATACAACACTGAAAATGCTATTTTTTTCCAAAAAAGAAAGAAAGAAAGAACCCAGTATCTACTTAACATATCAATGATTGAGGGCAAAGCAGAAACTCACCATGAATCTGACTCATTGAAGGCTTCCTTCTCAATTCTCATCCATTTATGATCAACCAATACCATGAAACATACATATATATTCCTACATACTTAATGGGGAAGGAGGGACCTCGGGGGTGGGTGGGTGGGAGGGGCAAAATGGACATTATTATCTATGACTCTCAGCCTGCTTGAAATATCATCTTAAACCACTCATGTGAATGGATCAAACCATTTGGCTAGTCCCCTACCACTTAGTGTGCTGACCGTTTCAGGGGATTAGTCTTCTGGCTATCGGCTGAAGGGATACCTTTGGGCAACCAAAAAAACTCAAACAAAACTCACCACAGTCCACTTCTAATATGTACATAAAGCCCCAACACAAATCTTGATATAACTTAAACACTGGATGGGCTCTCCACCTCTTTATTTTCTTCACCTTTTGTTACCTGTTGGATGCCTCGAGCCAAGACGACGGAGGATTCGTCTTCTCCACCTCCAACCCTCCCGCTCTCGCACAGATGCCGCCACTCTTCTGTCGCCGCGGGGCTCGTTCTCTGGCTCCCGTGCGACCTCGATGAACTGAACATGGACAACACGCCACATTGAGACCGCACGGCTGAGCTGAACATGGGTTGCATACTAACCCGCTTTTTGTCGGTGCCTTGGAGCAGCAGGGAAATTCGACAGACCGGGCATGTGGAGTGCTGCTGCAGCCAGATGTCGATACACGACACGTGGAAATAGTGTGCACACAGTGGCAAGATGCGTAATGTATCCTCGCTGTCGTAATCCGCCAGGCAAACCGTGCATCTACAATAATACAATTAACACAATTAGAGAGTGACGGTTTTACTACTAGCCTGGTAACACGTTTTTAAGATGGCAGAACAAAAGGGAATAAGTACATATGAAGAAATTAAAGCATGTGCTCCATCTCAACTAAAATCATAACCTTTGGTCTGGCTCTGATACCAAATTAAAGCATGTGCTCCATCTCAACTAAAAGCCTAAGCTGATAGTTGGATTGCACATTAATGGTTATATGCTCAACAAGTTGTAGTCGCTAATAACAAGTTCGGTTCTCAAAATCATAACGATAAAAGGATTCCAGTTGTGGAAGGAAAGCCCCGGAGAGAAGCTTAAAGAAAGTCTAATATTAAGAGTAATGCTCTTTAACTTTATACAATCGAAGGGGAAAACACGTCTATATATACACTATCCACAGGCTAACCATAAGGTGAACATACTCTTTCGTGCCTAGACCAAATAAATAATTGAAGAAAGACAGATAGAAGCAAAAGCGTACACTCATAGCTAAGAAAAGCCGTCAATTTGGAAACAAGTAATAACTTACTGAGCATCTTCTTTGGAGGTAAAGAATGCATCACCGAACTTCTTTGTAGGGAAGCTGCTTATGTCGAGAGGCTTAAGACCATGCAAACCACGCTCTAACTGTGAAACAGTAGAAGGAAGGATGTTAGGCGAACTAATCAACACGACAAACTCTTGTGCTTAGTTACACAAACACAGCTATATATCCTCAAATTATTGCAAGTAGTAATAGGAAGAAATCCATACAATTAACCAAAAAAAGACCAACCAAGTACAATCTAGTATGAATAGATTACCACTAGAATGTGAAGGAATAAGATGGAAATGGCAAAAATCATAACAAAAAACCCCACAAAAAAGTTTCCAAAAACAACCACAATACTTTCTTGAACAAATCAACAAACACATCAATGACCAAATCAAGAAACAAGAATCATGGGGTAACCTCAACCAAGTTGGCTAAGGATACAAACTTGTAACCACAAGGTCACGAGTTTGAATCTCAACCATCTTGATTTGAGCCGGTCAGCTATGGGTAATCTATGCTGATTTACTGGCTAAGGCCACAAGGCGGGGTTTACCCGGTGTACACCCTTGGTAGTGGGTACGGGTTTCCCTCGTCACCTTTACCTCTTTGTAGTCCTTTACCCGCTAAGGTCACAAGGCGGGGTTTACCCAATGCACACTCTTGGTAGTGGATATGGGTTTCCCTCGTCACCTTTACCTCTTTGTAGTCCTTTACCGGCTAAGGTCACAAGGCAGGGTTTACCCAATGCACACTCTTGGTAGTGGGTAGGGGTTTCCCGCGTCACCTTTACCTCCTTGTAATCCTTTACCTACTAAGGCCACAAGGCGGGGTTTACCCAGCGCAAACCTGGGTGCGGGTTTCCCTCATCACCCAAAAAAAGAAACAAGAACTATATGCATACCAAGTTTGATTTAGATACTCCTTCCAAACAACCAAATCAAGCAAAACTGCAGTTGTAATCACATATGTACTACCAAAATCAAAGTGGAAACAGAACCAAAAATGACAGACAAACAGGGCATTGTATAAATCGAAAAGAAGAGCATTGCAGAGCTAAATAAGATAAGAATAAGGAGCTTACAATGCTGAGATCAGATCTAGAAGCTATGGCTACAGATCGCCGCCTAGTAGAGTGCAATAGAATTCTTGCACAGATTAGCCTTGTGCATACAAAAACTATGAACATGGCACTCAATACAAACCCTATCACTGTCATCACTACATTTATCCCCGAGGACACCATTTTCAAGATTCTCAAGAAAAATAATAAAAATCAGTTCTTTGCTAAGGCTACTGTCTCCCCAATTTGTATAATCTACTGTAAATCACATGAAATCTTCAAAGGCAGCATTTTTTTTTTTCCACTCCCACTCTCTAAAAACCACATTTTTTATACATTTTTTTTCCTGAAAATTTGTACCCAGACCACCAAAGTTCACTACTCTTCTACAGTTCTACAACCCATTTCCAGAAATGCAGTCTTGAAGATTGCAGAGATTCTCCCTCACCTACCCTCAGACTCTCCATACATAATAAATCTCTTTTCCCCGCTCCCCCTCTGACATCCTTTGTCTGCAGGTATGTGCACATAGACGATTTATACAGGCATCGAAGCTTGCAAGTTTGCATTTAGAATCAAGAAAAAAGAGCAAATGACAGTGATAGGCGATACTTGAGCTAGTCAACCCCTTCTAAACAAGTAATGAGCGTTTGGTGAGATATAGTTGCAATTCAATTACAATAGAATTCTTTGACCACCCGAAATAAGGTGTTTGGTTAGAAGATTTAATTATAATTCCCTCATTTTGTTGAATTGTAATTTATACCCTCCCATATGAATTGCAATTTAGGGTTTGTTTGGAAACTCGAAAAATGACTTCGGAAAAATGAGTCATTTTTCAGAAGTCATTTTCCTTTCCTGTGTTTGACTGCACAATGAAAAAATACTTTTTACCCTTAATTATTATTAGTATATTAGGAATATGGATTAAATAAGCCATTCAACTACATACCAAATTGCAATTAGACTAATGAACTCAAAAAATTACAATTGGGTCACTAAACAACGCAAATTCATGCAATTTAACCTAATTATTTACATGTTAATATGCTGGCGTGTCACTTTCTTTATTTAAAAATAATTTTTAAAATTTTATTTTAATAATTTTAAATAAAATAATTATTTTAATTTTTTAATAAAAAAACCTCCATGGCTCGGAGACGAAACGATCTCCTTCGTCCGCTTCGTCTCTGTCCAGTCGGCCATGGAGACGAAAGGGGACCCCTTCATCTACGGCCAGACAAAATTTTTTTTTTTAAATAATTTCAAAATAATTACTCCGGTATTTTATTTAAAATTATTAAAATAAAATTTAAAAAATTATTTTTAAATACAGTAACCAACATGTCAGCATATTAACAGGTAAACAAGTCATTTTAGTTTAAATTGTATGAATTTATATTGTTTAGTGACCCAATTGTAATGTTTTTTAGTTCAGTGACCTAATTGCAATTTGGTGTGTAGTTGAATGACCTATTTGACCCTTGAGGTTTATGGTCATTTTTGAAACATTGAGGACCTGGGAGGGCTGATTCGAAAGTTTAGGACCATAGATGGTGGAACCACTATACTCGAGGGGCCTTGGCTAGTATTAACTCTTTCTTAGTATTATTATTACACATGAATATTTTAGTCTTTATAACACTTCTTCTCTTCTCATTCCCAATAATTTTAATTCTCCATACCAAACAATGTAATTTGAATTCCAACTTTATTTCTACCTTTTTTTTCCACCAAATTACAATTCCTTTCTTTCTTAATTCTTTCCTTCCAACCAAAGCCTTGTAAAAGTCCATGTGGAAGAGAAATAGAGATTTAAAAAAAAAAAAAAAAAAAAGAGCAACCATCTATAAGAGACCCCTGTAATCTTAAAAGGTGATGAAAATAGATTTTCATAACGCAAATTATAGAGTTCTACATACGACATGGACTCTCAAATCTTACTCTATAAATTTTAATCCTTGATGTTGCGGGCACTGATAAACTACTTTTAGAAAAATACTATATGAACTCTCATTTATTACTCTCAACTTCTACTTTCACAAATTATTAATGTAGACACTTTTCCTGGGACCCCACATGATAAAAATACCGAATCATTGTTTGCTACATCCTGGAGTAAAAGTGAGGGAGTAGAATTTAGAAGTAAATGTAGTAGAACTCCTACATTTTTTATTTGAGTTCCAATACAAGTGTCTACATCAAGATTTTGTGTGCGAGAGTAAAAGTTGAGAATAGAAAATGAGAGTACATATAGTATTTTCCCAAATTATATCACTCCGCCACTCAAGTTAGCTTATGTGGTAAACCACCTGACCTAAAGTAAGTATTCTAGCGGTAGGGTGGGAGTGTAACTTTCACTAACAACATCTTGGAGTTAGGTTGAGATTATCTCAGTCAAGAGGGGCTTTGCAAGCTGATGTCGAAAGTTGCCATGTGTGTTTCCTTTTTTATTTTTATTATTTTTTTTATAGTAACTAGGATTGCAAATTTTCAACCGAACGCGACAGCTTTTTGAACCTTTTTTTTTTTTAAATTTTTAATTTGTTTGTTTAATTTAGTTTATTTTTAACCACTTTTTTTTTTTTTTTTTTTTTTTTTTTTTTTTTTTTGGTTTTTTTGGTTTTATTTGTGTAGTTTGTTTTGCCATAATTTATTTATTTATTTAATATGTAATAATTTTTTGAATTCAATTACTTTGAATTTGTAAGGTTCATTTGAGGTTTAGTTTTACAATTTAATTAAATCGTGGTATAATATGCACTCAGTTATATACCATACATAATACGAATAATTTCTTAAATTATTTTTTAAAATAAATTCATTAAAATTACGTGTCTAAAATTTATGTTGATATACATACATTTTTTTGTAAGATTGATATACGTACATTCATTAATATATGAAAATTAATTCATTAATACATATAATTAGTTTTTCCATTAATACATACATACGTAATTAGTTATTTTCAAATTTGTTATATTTAATATTTAAATATTGTTTATATATTGATATAAATAAATAATGTTGAAGACAAAATAATATTTATTAAGAAAAAATATTAATTTTTTTAAAGTGATGTAAAATTGGGGTCCACATTTGAATGTTGATTGGATTTACAGGGATGTAGTGTGAATAGTAGATGATTTGCAAATGAGATGATGTGAAAGTGGGACGCATTTTTGAGAGTGAGAGATATTTGCAGGGATAAGTTCAGCCTTAGAGCTCTTAGATTAGAGTTTACGCCATTGGGCTCCCCAAATTGGTAGAAATGTGAAGATGAATCCTTTGTGTGCATAGTCAATGACATGGACTCATTATATGATTAAAAGTTGCATGGTAATATTGATGATAATTACAAAAATGTCATGATTTTTTTAATTTGATGTGATATGTTCGATTTTTTATAAGATTGAAATTAGTTATCCTTTGAATATAATGATAATCTCAAATCAAGTTGTCAAGACATACTTATTTTACTACTAAAAGTCAATTTTAGTTTAACAAAAAATTAAGATGAATTTACTTCTAATTTTCCAATTTTCAAATTTCACGTTTTTCAATTTTTATTCTTCATTTTATGTTTTTAAATTAGAGAAATCTACAAGTAAATATTTTTTGTTTTCTTTCTTCAGTTCTTTATTGTCAACAAGAGACATCTTATTAAATTAGAAGAGATTGCAACTTCTTATACATACCTATGGGTTAATGTAGTACATTGGAGTAAATAATAATTTTATTTAAAAATATTTTTAATATTAAGGGGCAAAGAAAAATGTTATACTATGCATGTATTTAATTAATTCATAGGTAAAGTTGACATTAAAATTAGGAATAAGTCACCGAACTTATCACTTTTATGCAATTGGATCACTGAACTTAAAAAGCATGCAATCGAATTATCAAACAATCAAAATATGTGTAATCGTGACATTTTTATTGTTTCTTTAATACAATTTAAATTGAAAATATTTTAATATTTAATCACAACTAGTATGACAGAGGAAATGCCGATTCTTAATACAAACTATGTAAGCTATATGATCATATTCAACCGAAAAAAATTAAAAAAATGTCCTAGCTAATAGTACATATTTTATCCGTTTAATGATTTAATTGCATACTTTTTAAATTTAGTTACTTTTGAATGCTACTAGCTCCATTACATTGTAGTATCTGTTCATATACTTTCTTAACCTACTGAAACACAAAGAGCTAATAACGTCTCCATTGAGGCTTGAACTCACAACCTTCCTAATGGAAATTCAACCCGGGTACCATTAAATTTAGTTACTTAATTTGCACTAAAACAATAAATTTAAGGGTGTTGTTATTTGTACCACTCTTAGTCAAAAGTAGGTGTAAATCACATTAAAATTGTAAAAATGACAAAAAATTCAACAATCTTATATGTGGTGTAAATAGCCATATGGGTATTCATATTGCTATTTACACCACCCTGATTAAATGTGATTTACGAGATTGTATTAATAATTTTTTAATTAAAAATTTAATTAATTAAAATAAAATAAAAAAAAAACAACCCCTCACCTTCTCCGCTGAGAAGGTAGCCCAGTGGGACGCCTTCTCCGTGACGTTTTTTTTTTTTTTTAGTTAATGTTTTGATTTTTAAATAAAAATAAATAATAAATATTTTTTTTAAAAATATAATATTTGACTAAATTTAATGAAGGTGGTGCAAATAACAAATTTCTATTTACACTACCTATAAAATTATCACACCTATCAAATAGTGGTGTAAATAACAATTAGGGTAATGTAAATAGAATTCCCTTAAATTTAATGATCTATTTAATACACTACTGGAAATTCTGAAATTTCCGACCACCTGAAAATGATCTTAAATTAAGTTGATACCAAAAAGTCTAAAAAGTGGTCGGAAATAGCAACAAAGGTTTTTCCGGATACCAAAAGTGGTCGGAACAAGACTTTCAACTTGATTTATGATCACTTTCAGGTGGTCGGAAATTTCAGAATTTTCAGTAGTGATACTTTTTCCTTAAAATTATACCACTTAATAATGTACGTACTCCTAATTAAATACAACATAATTATTTAGGAATTGAGAGAGCTAATAGTGACACCTCAAACGAGATAATAATTAAGGACAAAAAGTGAAAAAGGCAATGAAAAAAATCCAAATAAAATCCAGAAAGTTGGTAGTGATAAATCAGACTGTATATTCAATTCATTGAGCCACAAATTCAATATGTTAAAGTGTATTAAAAAATACAATATAAACTTTAACATGAACTTTGATTAATTAATTAAAATTACGCATTGAATATTGATGAAATGATACATCTAATTTACAATATTTTGATCACAGGTCATAGTTATACATTCTTGAAATATTTACTTTTATGAAAAATTTGATAATAACCTTGCATTGATATACATACACCAAGATACCAAATGATACTTTGATAAATTCTAAAAAATTAATTTAAAAATACACATTGAGCATCAAACTATTCGCGCGATGCGTGTGTGGTAATTACTAGTTGTAATATAAATGAGTAAATACCAATTTTGGTCCCACGAGTATTAGCAAAATGATGGTTTTGGTTCACATGTTTAATTCCTACCAATTTTCATCAAC